ATGTTGGAATGAACTTTCCTTCCAAACTCCCTCTTCATAGGCCTTATTTCCACTGGGGGAACTGCCGCGCTGGAAGGCAACCGCTTGAAGACCCTGAAGCATCCCAACACATTTTTCTCGGGATTCCAACGCCACGGGTCAACCTGACTGTTGCGTCTTGACGATCCTGAAATGGGCCAGAACGCCATTCCTGGGATTTCAACACTGCCAGTCAACGTAACTGTTGTGCCCTCATAATCTTGAACCTTTCCAATATCATTTCTGGTACGCTGATCACGGGAATCCGTGAAACTTGTGCACATAAACAACGAATATGCGCGGCGCTGAAGCGAGAACGACATTTTGAAAAGGAACCGCCTTCAATCCATGAAACTTTTAGAACCTTTTACAACAAATGTGCGGCCCTCAGGCGAGAACCACATTTTGAAAACGACCCGCCCTCCATCCGTGAAGCTCTTGCACATTTTTTAAACGAATATGCGCGGCGCTACGGCGAGAACCATTTTTTGAGAATGACCCGCCCTCCATCCGTGAAGCTCTTGCAATTTGTGAAAACGAATGTGCGCGGCGCTACGGCGCGAGCCACATTTAGAAAACCACAAGCCCTCAATCCGTAAAGTTCTTGCAATTGTTCAAAACCAATGTGCGCGGCGCGAAAGCGAGAACCGCATGTTTAAACTCACCCGCTTTCAATCCGTGAAGCTTTTGTAAAGTTTTAAAACGAATATGCGCGACGCTAAGGCGAGAACCACATTTTGAAAACAACCCGCCATCCATCTGCGAAGCTGTTGCCAACTTTGAAGTTTCAGGGTCGTAAATGGTGAGGAGGTCTCAGGCGACGCGCCCGGTCCGCCCTACAAACTGGCTTTGGCGTGCGACAACGAAAAATTAGTGATAAGGTAAAGAAATAAAAGAAGAGGAGGAGGCGGCGGCGGCGGGGGCGGAGGAGGAGGAAGAGGAGGAGGAGGCGTAGGAGGACCACTGTAAACCCAATATTCGTGAACGATGTTGGAATAAACCCTTCCTCCGAGTTCCCTCTTCATATGCCCCTGCGAGGATTCATGTCGACTGAAGGAACTGCCTTGAATACCCTGAAACTTACCAAAACACCTTTGTCGGGACTCCGATGCCACGAATCAACCTGATTGTTGCGTCTTGACGATCCTGATTCGTGCCAGAACGCCGTCCCTGGGACTTCAACAACACGAATCAACGTGGCTGTTGCGCCCGCACAATCCTGAACCCTTCCAAAACACCAGTTCTGGTACGTTGGCCATGGGAATCTGTGAAACTCTTCAATCTGTTAGAACGAATCTACGCGGCGCTGAGGCGAGAACCACATTTTGAAAACGAGCCGCCCTCAAGAAACTCTTGCACATCTTTAAGACGAATGTGCGCGGCGCTACGGCGAGAACCATATTTTGAAAACCGCCCGCCCTCAATCCGTGAAGCTCTTGCAATAGTTGAAACAAGATGTGCGCGGCGCTACGACGAGAACCACATCTAGAAAACCGCCCGCCGTCAATCTGTGAAGCTCCTGCAAAGTCTTAAGACGAATGTGCACGGCGCTGATGCGAGAACCACATTTTGAAAACGACCCATCCTCCATCTGTGAAACTGTCGCCAATAATGGGGAAGTCTCAAGCGAAACGCCAGGCCCGCCCTTTCGACTGGCCTCGGGGTGCGACAGTGAGAAAAGAAATGGAGGATGGGGAAGAGGATGATGATGAGGAAGAGAAAGAATATAATAATTCCCTGACGAGACATGTTAAGAATAATATTCGTAATACTACAAACAATAATGCACATCACATTCAATACTACACAACAACTTATGATACACATGATGCTTACGCTAAAAACATACACAACAAGAGTACTCACAGAGGAGAAGTCTGGAGGAAGGCAGCGGGGGGAGCGGGGGAGAAGTCAGGAGGAGAGGGGGCACCAGGCAGAGGAACAAGAGATGGAGGAGTCGGGAGAGGAGCAGGGGAAAGCCGGAGGAGGACAGGACCTGAGGAGGGTTTGGTAGGAGGAGGACCGAAGAGGGGCAGCGAGGGTGAAGATAGAGATAGAGATAGAGAGACAGAGAGACACACACACAGAACCAACAAAACAAAACAACAGGAATGAAAACATGGCGCCGTAACAGAGGCGAGGTCGGCGAAGGAAAAGGAAGAGGGAATGGGGGAAGGCCAGGAATAGGAGGAATGTGACGGGAGGAGGGGAGGAGGAGGGGAGGATGGGAGGAGGAAGGGGATGAAGGGAGAGAACAGGACGAGCTACGATCATTCCCTCTGCGCGCGCTGCGACCTACAGGCTCCTGGAGGCCTGCACAGAGGTGTCCACCGCCGAAGCCACACCTCGGGCGGGGCCGCTGATGTTCCCCGCTGTGCCCACCAAGCAGGCACTCTCTCGTGCTCCTTCCATCTCCTCCTGCCTTCCAATTCCTCCTCCTCCTCCTCCTGCTCCTCCTCCTCCTTCTCCTCCTCCTCCTCCTCCGCCTCCTCCTCCCTCCCTCCCTCCCTCCCTCCCTCCCTCCCTGCTGCTGCTGCTGCTGCTCCTGCTGCTGCTCCTGCTGCTGCTCCTGCTCCTCCTCCTCCTCCTCCTCCTCCTCCTGCTCCTCCTCCTGCTCCTCCTCCTCCTCCTCCTCCTCCTCCTCCTCTTCCTCCTCCTCCTCCTCCTCCTACTTTCTTTTCTCCGATTGCAGGACAGCCCAGATACGATGAGGGAAGCGATACCATGGCTTGAGGGCGAGTTCGGGATTTTTACCTAACAGCGAAGACTGATAGGTTTCTAGTAGGGTCAAGAGAGAGCATCATGACGCGCCAAGGGGGTCTGGGCGGGATCCGGGGGAGGATGCCGGGGACTTTTTTTAGCCAACAGTTACACGCTTCGTGGTCTTCGAGGTCCCAGAACTCCATTCCCGGGCAACATTCTGAATGCCCGGAGCCAACTGTAGGCCACTTCGTGCTCTTCGAGTTCCCAGAACTCCATTCCCGGGCCACATTTTGAATGCCTGGAGCCAACTGTAGGCCACTTCGTGCTCTTCGAGTTCCCAGAACTCCATTCCCAGGCCACATTTTGAATGCCCAGAGCCAACTGTAGGCCACTTCGTGGTCTTCGAGTTCCCAGAACCTCCATTCCTGGGCATGATTTTGAATGCCCGGAGCCAACTGTAGGCCACTTCGTGTTCTTCGAGTTCCCAGAACTCCATTCCTGGGCCACATTTTGAATGCTGAGGCAGGCTGAAGGCTGCTGAGGCAGGCCTGAGGCTGCTGAGGCTGAGGCTGAGGCTGAGGCAGGCTGAGGCTGAGGCCTGAGGCTGCTGAGGCTGAGGCTGAAAGCAGGCTGAGGCTGAGGCTGAGGAGGCTGAGGCTGAGGCTGAAGGCAGGCTGATGCTGAGGCAGGCTGAGGCTGAGGCTGAGGCTGAGGCTGATGCTGAGGCTGAGGCTGAGGCAGGCTGAGGCTGAGGCCGAGGCTGAAGGCAGACTGAGGCTGAGGCTGAAGCAGGCTGAGGCTGAGGCTGAGGCTGAGGCTGAGGCTGAGGCAGGCTGAGGCTCAGGCTGAGGCTGAGGCAGGCTGAGGCTGAGGCAGGCTGAGGCTGAGGCCGAGGCTGAGGCAGACTGAGGCTGAGGCTGAAGCAGGCTGAGGCTGAGGCTGAGGCAGGCTGAGGCTGAGGCTGAGGCAGGCTGGCTGAGGCAGGCTGAGGCTGAGGCTGAGGCTGATGCAGGCTGAGGCTGAGGCAGGCTGAGGCTGAGGCGAGGCTGAAGGCAGACTGAGGCTGAGGCTGAAGCAGGCTGAGGCTGAGGCTGAGGCAGGCTGAGGCTGAGGCTGAGGCAGGCTGAGGCTGAGGCAGGCTGAGGCTGAGGCTGAGGCTGATGCAGGCTGAGGCTGAGGCAGGCTGAGGCTGAGGCCGAGGCTGAAGGCAGACTGAGGCTGAGGCTGAAGCAGGCTGAGGCTGAGGCTGAGGCAGGCTGAGGCTGAGGCAGGCTGAGGCTGAGGCTGAGGCTGAGGCAGGCTGAGGCTGAGGCTGAGGCAGGCTGAGGCTGAGGCCGAGGCTGAGGCAGACTGAGGCTGAGGCTGAAGCAGGCTGAGGCTGAGGCTGAGGCAGGCTGAGGCTGAGGCAGGCTGAGGCTGAGGCTGAGGCTGAGGCTGAGGAGGCAGGCTGAGGCAGGCTGAGGCCGAGGCTGAAGGCAGACTGAGGCTGAGGCTGAAGCTGAGGCTGAGGCTGAGGCAGAGGCAGGCTGAGGCTGAGGCAGGCTGATGCTGAGGCAGGCTGAGGCTGAGGCTGAGGCTGATGCAGGCTGAGGCTGAGGCAGGCTGAGGCTGAGGCCGAGGCTGAAGGCAGACTGAGGCTGAGGCTGAAGCAGGCTGAGGCTGAGGCTGAGGCAGGCTGAGGCTGAGGCTGAGGCTGAGGCAGGCTGAGGCTGAGGCTGAGGCTGAGGCTGAGGCTGAGGCTGAGGCTGAGGCTGAGGCAGGCTGAGGCTGAGGCTGAGGCTGAGGCAGGCTGAGGCTGAGGCCGAGGCTGAAGGCAGACTGAGGCTGAGGCTGAAGCAGGCTGAGGCTGAGGCTGAGGCAGGCTGAGGCTGAGGCAGGCTGAGGCTGAGGCTGAGGCAGGCTGAGGCTGAGGCTGTGACTGCGACTGCCGTTGCCACTGCGACTGTCATCGCGAATGCGACTACGACTGCGAGAACAGCAGAATTCTACAACTGGATTCTCATCTAAATCTTAAGGGGAATACTTCCAAATATGCTCCTACACATCGCTGTTAGGTTGCTTTGCCGGGATAATCATTACATCGTTAACACCGTTGCCGCTTCCAGCCCGATGGCGCTCCTGACGGGATGCAGCTGCTTGGCATGAACACGCCTTCGAGGTGAGACTTCCGTTGTGAAATTGCTAGAAATGGGTGCTCGATCGTCGCACGTGCCAGCGAGAAGCTTTCGACTGGAGGCATGCGTGACCCAAGCTTGGACGTTAAGACTGTCAACGGTTTTCTCGACGAGAAGTGGGCGCAATTATGTTCGAATTGTTTTGTACGTCGGTTCATGCAAACTCCTTGCTGTCGTTCAGAGCCGATTGACCCTTCTGTCGACGATTGGAACGCAACGGCTCATCACTACTGCGGGCTGCAAATGCCATGCTCTGCGCCGGGCGCGGCCCCTCTGGGGGGGGGGTCCCTCGAGGATTGATTTTTCTTTGGGGAAGTTTTCGAGGAGGAGGAGGAGGAGGAGGTTGAGGAGGTTGAGCGGGAGGGGGAGCAGGAGGAGGAGCAGCCTGGATGACCTCACGCACGAGAGTTGGCGGCGGCGGCGTCTGCGCCCCGCACGCGTCCCCCCCCAACCCTCCTCCACGCAACTGCAGGGCGTCAGAAAAAAAAATCCAACCGCAGAAGCTGCGACTTCCCGATCCACGCCCCTCCTCCGCACCCTATCGGTCCCTCTCTTGTGCCAGCCGACCGCTTCGAGCAGCGAGCGCCAGCAGCGCTTCAGCGCGGGCATCGCTGGCCATCGAGTCCGCACCCGCCGCGCTGCGCCTCGCGCAGCCCGGCATGCAGCGCCGAAGGGCGTCCAGTGAGGCAACATGTCGACGCGGCGGCGTGTTCCGCGGGAGCTGCATCTCCGTCGTTGCCGTTGTCCCTCGCATTCGGTGACTGGCTGCTCAAACGAGAGCGCGGTGCCCGAAAGCGCGCTGGCACTCAATATGGACACCGCTCACGTGAGAGGTATTCGCGGCTTGGCGTCATGATTGAGCGAAAAGGTCCCGACGCCTGCGCGCATGCACGGCAACGTGTTCTCAAACGTCGCATGATAGCACCCGTATCGCACACGCTCGTAAGTATCCGCCGACTGTGGAAGGCGACATCATGTCGAAAACACAATGCGAGCACGTCATGAGGCCCGGCACGTTGGTGACAACAGATGCGCATCGGAATCGGTATTCAATTTTCGCAACTCCAATTCGCTCTTCCTGTGGCACGACCATCGAGTTCTGATGATTCGAGTCTTCCCCAATGTCATACCTGTGGGATGGAGGTCTGAGACGGGGACGGCGCATCGCAACACCAACAATTTGTGCTGGGCTTGCTCTGGTCCTCGTTTCACCTTGGATTCCGTGCCGACGGGATCCTCCGCATTCGCACGCTCCTGCTCCTGCACCTGCTCGTACTGCATGTCGATGCGCTGCTCCTGCTCCTTTCCGGTGTCCGTCTCGGCCTCCTGAGCCTCCTGCACGAACATGTCCTCCTTCCTCTTCTACTTCTCTCCCTGTCAACCACCTCGAGTGCGACAGCAGCCCAGACGCCTCCACGTACCCCGGCAAAGCCTGCAACGCAGAGTGAAAGGCTTTCACCTCCGCTGCAGCCACCCTCCTGGGCAGCGTCGGGGGCGCGGCTTGGGGCGAGTGGCGAGCCCTGTGTGCACGGGAGCCCACCTCGCACACCACAGGAACCTCCTACACCAAGCCGACCAGCTCCGCTGCGATCGCGACGTCGACGAAGGAGCTGAAGTGCCCCGCGACGACGTCACCGAGCGCCCAGTGGGCGGCAACTTGGGCCCGTGTGGGCACAACAGGAGGGAAACGCGTCCTGAGGGAACCGGGTCCTGGACCCTGGCGCCTTCCCCCGGGAACAACTTTTCGTCCCGAGCCGTTCTCTGACAGTCCTGGGGCCCGTGCAGGGCCCCGAGAGCCCGAAGACGGCGAACAGGAATCAGGACCCGTTTCCTCGCCATCGCTCGGACGTCCATTCCCTGTGCTTTTTTCGGTTTCGTGCGTGGTTTTTTCGCCAAATCATCAAGGATGCTCCTCGATGGTCCTCGCCGAAAGAAACATGCACACGGCCCAGCGATGCCAAGTTTCCTTCCGGACCCGCTCCCCCCCGTGGGGAGCCACCTCTGCGCTCGCCCTCCACCTTCCGCACCTTCCGCGCGGCAGGTCCCACGCCGCGGCGGCCGCCGCCGCCGCCGAAACCGCTGCTGCGGCCTCGGCGGAAGCCGCCGCGGCGGCCGCGGCGGCGGCCGCCGCGGCGTGGAACCTGCCGCGCGGAAGGTGCGGAAGATGGAGGGTCTGCGCTCGCCAGGCCCGCTGGCGCCTCCGCGCCATGCAGCGTGCTGGCCGCTGCCGCCGCCCACCCCGCCCCGCCCCGACGTGGCCGCCGGCGCGCGCCCGCGAGGCCGCCGCGGGGCGCGCGCCGGCGAGGGCCTCCCGGAAGCCGGGCCCCCCTGATAGGGGGCCACATGCGAACCCTACCCCTACCCCCCACGATTTCGGAGGGGGGAGGGCGGGGTTCACTTCGCTCGAGAGCTCTCGCACGGAGTGAGCCCCACCCTCCCCCTCAGAAGTCGTGGGGGGTAGGGGTAGGGTTCGCACGTGGCCCCCTACCTGAGCCACAGTGGCTACGGGGGGGCGGGAGGAGGGGGAGGAGGACGAAGGGGGCCCGGGGACGCGCGAACTCGCCAGCCCGACGGGCCCGAGGCGTGCGGGAAGCTCCGGTGAGAGTGTGAGAGCAGCTCTACTCCTCATGCGCGCGTGGCGGCCCCCTGGGCGAAGAGTGCCCGGGCAAGGTCCCGGCACGCTCCTGGCAAGGTCCCAGCAAGTCCTGGCAGGGTCTTCTCCTCCTCCCCCTCCTCCTCCTCCTCCTCCTCCTCCTCCTCCTCCTCTCTCCTCCTCCTCCTCCTCCTCCTCCTTCTCCTCCTCCTCCTCCTCCTCCTCCTCCTCCTCCTCAGAGATGCCGGAACTCCTGGGCGCGGCCTCGGGGGCCCCCGGAGCGCCCCAATGAGGCGCCAGATGGGTGGCAAGCCCCACGGCCTCATCATGCCAAGAGCGTTTCAAGACGGCCCACGTTGGTCTCAAGACGGCCCAAGAAGCGACCAAGGCGCTCCAAGAGGGTTCCCAGAGGACTTCGAGAGGCCCCGAAAACGCAACAATCATTGATTTCGCGTGGGTTCTCGGACGATTTTGGCGGTACCGCCTTGTCGAGCTGCCGACCGCCCTGGACGGCCCAAGAGGCCCCAAGATCGCCTCAAGACGGCCCAAAAAGCCTCCAAGAGGGCCCCAAAATGGCCAAAGATGGCCCTCAGACGGCCCAAGAGGCCTCCAAGACGGCCCCATGATGTCCCCGAGAGGGGGCCCAGAGGGGGAACCCGAACGGACCTTTCGAGCTCTCCGGCCCAAGAGGCGCCCAGGAAGCCCCCAGAGGCCCCCCAGAGGCACCCAATACCCCCAACAAGACCTCAGGAAGCCCCAGGTCTCCAAGAAGCCCCCCAAAGGCTCCCCAGAAGCTTCAAAACTGCTCCCCAGAGGCTCCCTAGAGCAGTTCGAAGAGACCACAAGAAGCATCCATGAGGACTCAGACCCACAACCCAGGTACGTCTCGAGCTCTCTTGAGCCATCCTGGCACCCTCTGAGGCAGTCTATCGGCTCTCTTCGACAGGGTGGGAGCCACATCTCCAAATATCTCCTAGAGGACATTCCTGCCTGCCCTACCGTTGCCTTGGGCACGAACACGCCACCACGCAGCCACAGTGATGCGAAACGGGCCGGCGGAATGAGCGACGCGATTAGACAATACACACACGCACATCCCTGGATTCTCTATATATTCCCATCCTTCTGGATGTTCGTCTTCCCCTCCACTTCCCATCTTGTCCACACTTTCCAGGGAATCGACGATGAGAGAAGGAGGGGGAGGAGGAGGAGGAGGGAGGAGGGAGGAGGGAAGAGGAGGGAGGAGGGAGGAGGGAGAGGGATGAGGGAGGAGGGATGAGGGATGAGGGATGAGGGAGGAGGGAGGAGGAAGGAGGGAGGAGGCAGGAGGAAGGAGGGAGGAGGGAGGAGGGAGGAGAGAGGAGGAGGGAGAGAAGGAGAAGGAGGAGGGAGGAGGGAGGAGGTTGGAGGGAGGAGGAGGAGGGAGGAGGGAGGGAGGGAAGAGGAGGAGGGGGGAAGTGGGAGGAAACACACGATGTTTGATGATGCGATGGCTGGCTCTTTTTTCGAAGAGGCTCGACCGCTGGAAACTGATCTCGCTTCCACAGGGGGCACGTTGTTGAGCTGTGCCAGTCAATCTTGGAGAGCTGTTTTCCGAAGATGGGTCGTAAGACCTCGGCGGGGATCAACTTCTGCCACCTTCCGTACGTGTACCCCACAGTGAAGCTGAACTGTTATTCACCAACGGAACTCTGTCCGGGAGACGGCCGGCACACTTGCTCCAAAGAGAATCACAGTTGTCTCAGGAACATCGTGCCTTTCATCCGCATCCCGCATAGAAACGTGTTTCGAAACATTTCGCGTGGTGTTGCTTACCTTATCCGTATAATTACCCCAAGATGATATTTCACGAACCTCCACTGCGCCCCGAACGAGTTCAAAGACAGAGTAGCCTACCTCCGGAAACCAAGCCCAGACAGCGTTGAGCACCGCTGCGAGCAGTGCGGCGACATCATGCACACACCCACCCTGGTCGTCTTGGATGCGTCGCAAATCTAGGAAGAGCTCAACTCCCAGGACATACAAGATTCGATCAACAATCTGTTCGCCAAAACTACAACACTAGGGTTGTGCGCTACCGTATCTGTATTGCATTCGAGAAAACGTAAACATGTATCTGGCGGAACCCTGTTCGTGCCGTGCTGGGACCGCACGGTCTTCACCATCAAGTCGCTTCAGAGGGTGATCGAAGGGTTCGTTGGGTTTCAATTTCGCCTCTTCCGGTTCGGCAACATGTTCTTGCACCAAGTGCAGAGCGCCCCATTGGTGGACCTCTGAGCGGAACCACTTTGGAACTCAAGCTGGCCAAACAAGAACAAAAGGCTGATGAACGGTATGCGGATCGAGCTTGAACCGTGGCGGCTGGAAGATACGTCGATGATTTAGCTACCGTTAGTTTTGTTTTGTGTAAGCGATGCGTGACCAAATTTGTCCAGAAGACGTATGCTGGTGTTGTGTCTTTTACTTTGGATGGGGAATCCGAAGAATACCCAAACGGAGTAGCGTCTCACAAGTATTTGGATTTCGTGGTCTATGTTTCCTGGGGTGATCTGTTATATCGAACGGTTCACAACAGCCAGAGACCATACCAAGCTATGCAAACTTGCTTTGCCCATATACCCTGGCTCAGCTACCAATCGTGATGCAAATGCCCAGCGTTCTATACCTAAGAGTAAACTGCACAGATGGCTTACAGTTGGTATCGATAGACTGGATTTGATGGTTCTTACGTTCATGGAGATCTTGCAGTACATTCGATTTGGTTATCCAATTTCAATCATGAAGCGTTTCTGGTCTCACCTCCTCCCTCTTGGCCCTCACTCTGATGTCATCGTGCAGTCCTTTACCCTCGTCATCTTGACTTGCAAGCGTTTCGTACTCCATCCTTCTCATGTTCATAATCTGCGGGCCAGTGTCTTCTCCCATGCTGTAGGGAGAGCGGAGGAGACAGCGGGCATCTGTAAATCTTCTCGTCGCAGCGCGCCGGAAATGGGCTACCCGAATCAGCGGCAGGGGTACGACCGGCAGGGTTACGACCGGCATCATCATGGCCAGCGTTTCCCCATGTTGTCCCAGGTGCAGGGCGCAGGAGCTCCAGGGCTCGTGGGGAGCCCGCTTGCACCTGCCGGGACGGCGGCGGCTATGCCTGCACCTGCCGCGGCCCCCCCTGCGCCGCAACCCTCTGAGTCCGCCCGAGAGCTTGCATCGGCCCTGGTCACGGTGCTGAAGCAGAGCCAGCCGGCCAGCAGTGACCCTGCGCCGCGCGAAACAAGAGTGGAAACCGCAGTGGAGGAACTGACGAAGCTGACGGGAGGCACCACCTCGCCCGTGTCCTTCGACGCCCAGCTCGAGAGTTCGAGCGCGTTCAAGGAATTGAAGAAGGACGTTGGTGCTCTGACGGAGAAAACGGGGCAGCAGCGCGATGAGATCAAGGAGGTCAAGGTGGCAGTCGCCTCCAGCAGCAATGACATCAAAGAGATCAAGAACCTCTGCGTGGAGGCGATCCGGGGGAGCCGGGCAGCACACCCGCCAGCGCCGCCCCCCGGAGGCCGGGGCCTTGCCAGCAGCGCTCTTCACCGTGCCAGCGACCTCAGAGATCCAGTCCACCGCGTTGCCCCTCATGGGCGTCGGCGTGGACCGGCAGGAGGTCAAGGATATTGCCACGAACCTCGATGGCAATCCCATGCCCTTCGTGGATCGGTGGCAGGCCGTGCAGCGCTTCAAGACCCTCGAGCAGTGGGAGAGGAATGACCAGGTGGTCAGCGAGGGCAAGTTCACGGGCACAGTCCAGACCGAGGACCACGTTGGACAGGCGTTCTACCGCCACGTGAGCGCCGAGGGCGAGTGGAGCGAAACGCCGCTTCAGCCCCCCCCCCCCCCTGCGCAGGCCTTCGAGCAGTGATTGCCAGAAACGCGTGCTCTTGCGCGGGTTCTGTGGGGTTTTCGCTGGGCAGCAAATTCATGGAGGGAGGAGGAGGAGGAGGAGGAGGAGGAGGAGGAGGAGGAGGAGGAGGAGGAGGGTGAGGAGGAAGAGGAGGAGGAGGAAGAGGAGGAGGAGGAGGAGGAGGAGGAGGAGGAGGAGGAGGTGTGTGCTGAGTGTGCTGACTACATGGGGCAGGGCCCCCTCTCCGCAGAGCATCAGGCCTACCACTCGGCAGGCTCCTCATAAAAGTCGGGCTCCCCCCTCCCCAGGGATCTGGAAAAGTCCACCACGGCCGAGGGGGAATCAAAACCGTGCAAAAATGCGACCTGCCTGTCGTCTAGCTGCGGCACGTTAGTGCCATACTTGACCTCAAAGGTCGCTGGAGCACTCATCGACTGAACGTCCCCACTCCCTGCCTCCTGCCCCCGCGCGCCTCCAGCGAGGGAGGGGAAGCGGGTGGCCCAGGCCTCGATGTCCACGCCTGAGGGGGCGCGGACGTCCACGATCCGTGCCTTAAGGCGCCCTGGCATGAGCCCTCGGCGGAGGAGGGAACGCTGAGTCCGCAGTCCTGGGGCCTCCCTCCCACGACGCGCCCCGTCCAGCCCCTCGCCCGACCGAGCAATCTTATGCGCCGAGGACCCGCAGATTTTACAAAATAAAACATCTGGCTCGGGCTCCGCCCCTTCAGCCAGGGGCGCGACCGACGCCTTGACGACCGAGTGACGATTGAGAGCCCAAGGCGTCCCAGAACACTCCTGAAGATCAGGGCCCTCCCCACCTCCCGCAGCTGCAGCAGAAGGGGAGGAACGAGGGGGCGGCGGCGGCGGGGGAGGCGGCAGGGAGGCCGAGGACGCAGCTCCCCGCCAAGCACTCCCACTCGAAAGGGCTGAGCTCGAAGGTGATATCCGAGGTCCCAACAACCCCCTCAGAGTCGACGAACCCCCAATCAACCATCAACTGTTGGGCCCTCGCATGCCATCTCGAAACGTCGCGGGCCACGGCCTCGACCCCCTGTGCAAAGGCGCACTGCTGAGGGGGGGCCGACCACCTCAAGGCACCTGTTTTCGCCCGGCGGTCCGCCATCTGATTGCCGAGGACCAGCCAATCATCTTCAAAGCTGGTGGCCGAGGAGCGCGCGCGATGCGCCTTGACCTTTACAACCGACGCCTGGTGGCCGATCCCCTCCCACCAGCGGACCCAAAAGCGCCCTCTAGAATTCATGGGGTCGAACGCCGCGCCTGGATTCACCGCGCACTCAATCGAACCCGCACAGTCTGAGTAAACAGTGAGGGGATCTTCAGCATTCCACTCAGAGTATTCAGCCAAGACCTGAAAGGCTCTATCCTCTCCATCTCGCGCCATTTGGTTGGGCGCGCAACTGAGAGGAACCGCTCCAAAGGCGCCTGCCACCAGGCGCCCGCTCTCGATAATCTGGGCGATGGACCACCCAGCGCGAGAGAGTCCAGAAAACCGAGTGTTGAACGCGCTGCCGTCCACAAAAACTTTCCCCGAAAACTTCCAGCCCTCGGGGGGCCCAATCCAGGTCAGCTGGTCCTCAAGATTGGCCTCCTGAATTGGAAAGCAACGGGCTGGAGACGGGAACAGACATCGAGCAAACATGTCCACCACCTCTGGCGCCAGTGAGCTCACTTTTCTGGCAGCTGTCCGCGCGTGTGGCGGGCATTCATCACGCCTGTGTGCCTCGATGCACGGGCCCTCGTAAAACCGATGAAACAGCGTGCCCTGTCCTCCACAGATCAAGCATCGACCATGCTGGGTCTTGCCATGGCTAAAAGGCCGCGCTTGTGGCCAGTGGGGTCCACCCACCAAGCTCCGCAGCGCCGCCTTATGATGCGGCGTCCAGGTGTCCGTGACACTGCGAGAGAGGAGGTGACTGAGAGGCCCCCAGTGCAGAGCCCCCCACCACCCCTTTTCAATTCTAGTCAGAGCAAGAACGTCAGAGGAAACCAGCGCAGCTTCCTTCGCACGCTCCGTTATAAATCCTGGCGTGAATTCCAGCATGGAATACTCGAGGCCCTGGAAGACCAAAGAGAAGTCCGTGGGCATCGCAATGCCAATGCGCGCCATGCAAAGCAGCACAACCTGGCTGGGATCGACACAGTGAGCCCAGGGCTTGGCTTTGCCGAGGAGGTCCTTACCAGCCGCCCAGCAACCCTGCATGGGGCCGCGCCCTGGCAGCTCAGAGAGGGCCGAAATAGCCCATTGCTTCGCCACTTCTACTGCATGCACAACCCAAGGGTCCCTGAAGGAGCCCCTGGGGGACACGCGCAATCGAAGGCCTACCGAGGTGCCTGCAGGGAGGCGGCCCTCAGCACGAAGGGCCGACACTCTCAACCCATGCAACCTTTGGTCTGATAGACCAGTGACCGCACTCCCCCACGCCGCCGTCGCCGTAGGAGACCCCCTCTGAATAGTGCTGACAGCAGCGCCTGCAGCTCTGAGCTGCTGAACTCTCGCCGAGACTCTCTTGGCCTTGGCGATTCGTTTATCTTGCCCCCCCACCCTCCGAGCCGACCCGTCATTAGCATCGGTGCCCAAGCACCTGGTCCCGATGAGTCGATCCTCATCGCCGAGAGACCACTTAGCGTTGAGCTGCACGGCCAGCTCTGCAGAGGATGTTAAATAGCCAGTCTTATCCCAATTGACCCGCAGCTGTTTCTCCTGGAGCCCACGGACCAAAGCCATCATGGCCTCGGGAAGCTGGGAAAGAACCTGCTCAGCAGTGCCGAGCGCCTGGAGCAACAAATCGTCCACAAGGTTTTGAAATCGAACCGCGGGGAACCTGGCTTGCAACTTCACGAGTGGCGTGTGCACCGGCAGCTTCGCCAGCGCCAACGCACAGCTGCACCCCGCAGCGACAGTCCCATTGGCCTCCACCGCAGGCGCAACCGCTCCCTGCCAAACCGCACGCCGAGGAAGCCTTTGCGCCGAGCAGAGGCTACGAAGAAGGGCTAGCGGAAAACCAGTGTTGATGGCTTCCCTCCTAAGCTCCTCATGCGAGATATATTCATAATATTTCGAGAGGTCCAGCAGCCCACTGGCAGCCGAAAACCCCTTCAGACGAGCGAACCGCTGGAGCACATTGTGCACTAGTCCTGACCTATCACAGGTGTGCCCCGAATCTCCCCAGAAGGCGGCATTCGCCAGAGACTTCTCCCAGCGACGAGCAACGACCTGACGACACCTCGACCACGCCCGAGTCCAGAGGGAGAACAGGACGATGGGTCTCACACCCCCTGGGGGATTGGGCTTGCTTAAAAAGAAGACCAGAAGCGTCCAGAGGTCCTGATCTTCTGGTGCTCTCTCCCACGCATGCAGGATGTCCAGGAATGCCTGCCGATACGAGCCTGGGAGATATGTCATCTGCCTCTGGTGAAACTTATCCCGCCCCAATCCTGCGTTGGCCGGGTAACTCTGGAGCACTCGATCGAGCTGCTCAAGAGTGATTGGTGGGAGCTCGGCGTACGCGTCAAGCCTTCCAATCGGCGTTCCGCCAAACTCGGGCCTCGGGTGGACCCCCCGCGGGCGCGCGCTTCCACCAGCCTCCGCGTCCCCAGTAGAGGGCCGTGAGAGCTCCCACGACGCAGGGTGCGGCTCGCACGCACGCAGAGCGGAGTCCAGGTCTGCATGATCAAATCAAGGGCCTCCTGGCCTGCTACAGGAAGCGAAGGAGCGCTGGCTTCTGCCGCCGACTCCATGACAGAGGGCTGCACTGAATCACGGACGAAGCGAAAGGCGCAGCTGCCACCGCTAAGAACCGCCGCCTGGGCCCACTCGCGCCAAGCTCTAGCTGCTTGAGCTCTCGATGCCCTCTGGAGATTGGCCATGTGTTGCCTCGCAGCCTCCATGAACTGCGAGACCCTGGCCAACTCCCCATCAGCCCGAGACGCGATTAAATCGACTAAGTCCTGACGTGGGATCTCGGCCCACTTGCTGAGCGACCCCGACTCAGGCCAACAGTCAATAACAATGCGACTGACAACCTTCCTCTGCCTTCGCGAGGCAGCCAGCGACGGGCATCGACGAGCTCTGGCTGCAGAGCCCAACTCCGACAAGCGAAAGGCCGCCGAATAGAACCTGGCCCAGGCTTTGTACTCACTACTAGAATGCTGCTTGAGAGAGCGCTCCCAAGCCTGAATGAACGGCTCATTCGCTGTCTTGAAACCCTCGGCGCGACCTCTCCAGGCTCCTTGAGCCCAGTCCGACAGGTCGTGAAACTCCGACAGATAGGCTTCGGCATGGCGAAACCAAGCAGCACGCGCCTCGCCGAGGTCTCCAGGGAGTGCCTCTCCAATCGTCCAAGGCCACTCCTCGCCTGCAACAATCTGTGGTGCAGGCCGCACAGGGGGCGGCTTGCAGATCGGAAACTTGAGCGGAAAGACTGGGCGCGTCACGCGCGCCTGTCCCCCCAAGCCTCGGAGCCGAACGTGTGCAGGAATGTGCGTCTGCAGCGTCGAGCCCTCAATCGGCACGACCGCGTGGATGAAGCCAGAAAGCACGCGCGAGCAGACGCCAAAGTCGATCTCTCTGCCACCGCAAGTTGGTGCACCCGCTGTCAACAGTATCGCTTGAGCGCGCAGGGCCCATTCCTGCACCTCCTCGGGCAGCATGTTGAAGTCCCCGAGCACGATCCACGGCCCAGGAAGTGAACCGAGGTACTCCATGAGCTGCGTCAGAATGTCGATGTTCTGCTTGGCCAGGCCGATGCTCGTGACCAGATGCAAGGAGACCACGTGCAGCGGCGCAGCCAAACCCACATTGAGGCGCATCGACTCCACTCGGTGCGATGACAGCAACAGCTCATCCAGGACCTGCGGCCCCCTGCTGGCCGCCAATCTGCTGAGAACGCTTACGCCGCCGCTCGATTGCAGATGTCTGTCTCCCGTCGAGTCAGCCTTGCGCGCGTACATGTGGTAGGTGCGCTTCCTGGCCCATCGAACTGCCGATTCCAACAGAGGACCGCTCTTAATGCGATGCTCCTGCAAACAAAGCACATCTGGCAGCGCCTGATCAGCACTGTCGTGGGCCCACTCCAACAACGTCTGCGCCGACCACCAGCTCGAAGAATTGGCCGACCACAAGCTTATCTCGTGCTGCACATCAGTATCAACACTCGCTCCAGCTCCACATTGCTGAAGCCCCACTTGCACTCCACAGCGGCCCCGCCTGCGATCGAAGGCGCTTGGGCTGCTTGGCAGCATTGCCCAGGGCCTCCAGGAGCCGCTTGGCCATGGCGGGGTCATCGACGTCAACCCCAGCCTCCTTGAGGCAGGACTGGATGGCAGGATCTGCGGGGTCGAACTCGACCTTGCCGTCGACGCCCATGCCTCCTGCAGGTGCGTCAGCGTCAGAAGCAGCGGCGCCCCCCAGCGCCAGCAGGAGGAGCGCCAGGCCGAGCAGCGCTGGCTGCCTCAGACGCCTTCTGCTTCTGCCCCTCAAGCTTCGCCGCTGTCTCTTTGGCCATCCCTGCCACGTCGACGCGGAAGTGGGCGCCCATCGCGTCCAGCATCTTGCCGAAGTTCTCCAGCAGCTCGATGCCACTGTTGATGTCCCCGACCTTGGACTGGTTGGGGATGACAGCCTCCGCCTGCTTGGCGGTGATGGCTGCCTTGATATTCTTGAGATTGCCCTCGTGCGCCGCAAGCTGGGCGATCTGCTCCTCCGCGAACTTTCGGGCAACCTCGAGGGCTGCTTCTGCCTCTTTGACTCGCTCCCGACTTGCGTCGATCTGCTTCTGCTTCCGCGTCTCCCTGCTCAACAAGTCCTGGAGGGACTTCGAGCTGAGGTCTGCGGGTTGCGGCTCTTCCGACGCGGGGGGCTTCTCCGCAAAGGCCACCACGTAATCCATGGACTTTCCCGAGTGCTTCTCAAAGGCGCGGAGGATCTGGACGACGAGCGCATTGTCTGGGGCCCGCTCCTTGTCCTTGCCTCCGCCACCTCCCTTGGAACGGTTCGAGCCCCCAGGCTGGTCTCCGCCCCCTTTCGCACCACGGGGCGGCCCACGCGCCCAGTCACCCTGGAGGCGGTCTGCCCAAGGGGGAGAGTCTCCTGGGCGCCTCTGGATGTTCTGGGCTTTGGGCGGGCCGATCTTTTCACATTCACGACAATGGGTTCGCCACATGAAGTTGGCAAACCGACAGTGGGAGTCGTTGCAGACCCATGTTTGGAACTGCTTGCCTCCCACAGCATCGCGGCCAACGGACATGGGCGAGAAGAGGAAATCGTTTGGCTCGAGACAGCTGCGCCACTTCCAAGTGCGCTGCCTCAAAGGTTGTGCCTGCTCGAAACCTGGAAATGGCTAGGGGGGGAGGGGGAGGGGGGGAGGGGGAGGGGGAGGGGGAGGGGGAGGGGGAGGAGGGGGAGGGGGAGGAGGGAGGAGAGGAGGAGGAGGAGGAGGAGGAGGAGGAGGAGGAGGAGGAGGAGAGGAGGAGGAGGAAGGAGGAGGAGGAGGAGGAGGAGGAGTAGGAGGAGGAGGAGCGAAGAACGAGTGGACAAGCGAGGAGGGGAGGAGGAGGAGGAGGAGGAGGAGGAGGAGGAGGAGGAGGGTGAGGAGAGGAGGAGGAGGAGGGAGGAGGAGAGGGGGGGGGAGGGGGAGCAGGAAAGGATGGGGTGGAGGAGGGGAGGGGAGGGGAGGGAGGAGGAGGAGGAGGAGGAGGAGGAGGAGGAGGAGGAGGAGGAGGAGGAGGAGGAATTCATTGGTGGGTCTGCTCGGGGCGGCCGCGGTGGCCATTACCGTGACGTTGGAGTGTGCGTCAAATTTGGCATCACATTCCTCGTGCACGCCTCGTGCTCTCTTCGGCCATGCACAGCGCAGGGGATTCTCTGCTCGGACCGGGCGGCGCCGTGGAGAATGCCATCTTCAACGGCTCCACCGCCCAGCCGCAGCGCACTCTCGAGCGCGACGTGTACCAGAACATGACGTTCATGGTAGCTCCTGAACACGGGTTGCACCCGCGCGCGAACTCACAGGGCTTGATAGCACGGGTCATCGCTCACTCAGTTGTCCACTTCCCCACACTTGCTGCCATCACCGGGTGCAGTAGCTGAGAGATCGCGTGGTTTCAAGCCGTAGTGCATCCCATGGTACCTCGCCTCGCAAGCCGGGCCGCGCAGTCACCAGCGTTCCGAAGGATGTTGCAGGGAAGCTCGCAACACACCCTAGCAGCATTGTTTGTTGTCGCCAGCGTGCTGCCGAGAGCGGGGCGTGGACTGATGGCCCTGCGAGGGTAGGAAGGACTCTGTATAAGACGGGCTTTTCCCTCTCGTGATGCTCCACCCCCCATGGAGAAGTTGGTTCTGGGAGAAAGCGTTCGTTATATATGTGCTGGTTCTCCTGAGGGCCCGTGTAGGATACGAATGTGAGCGAATCCGTATCTTGGGAGCCCGTGTAGGATACGAATGGAGCGATCCCGTATCTTGGGAACCCGTGTAGGATACACATGTGATCGATTTGCATGTTGCTGCGTGATCTCGCTAGTTGTGGCCAATGCGCGGATTCAAGAGAGTAGACAAAAATGTTCTCAGAACGTTCCGGCGGAGCGTTCCCGGAACGTTCTGGATACAGACGAATCTTCCGTTCCTCATCGGGCTGAGGGGACCGCTCTTGTAGGCGGGGATGTTTTGGTATCTTCGGAGTCGGGCGTTGGATCGCCCGGGACCTCGTGTAAGCAACCTTTCGGTCCAGACCTCCTGCCTAATTCCATCACGTTTGAAAGAAGGTTTCAGGGCTCGTTCTTTTCTCGGTGTTCTTGACAGGGAACGGGCATGCTGCAGCGCAAGTCGGCTCGATCCCAAGCCATTCGTGCGAAAAGCCTGCCAAGCTTTAGGTCGACGCTCAAGCGTTTAGCCTCCAGACGCGCACACTGCAGTGGGGTGCGGCAGGTGCGGACAAAAAAAACACGTATCAAAATTCTCGTGCAAGCATTGGTGCAGTGTAGTTGCAGGGAGTTGCAGTTGCAGTGGTCAGTGCAGTAGTTCAGTCAGAG